TCTATTGGCCCTTGCTTTAGGAAAGTCTTTCCAACTCAGCCTTGCAGCTGGCTTGGTCTCTGAAAGAGGGTCTTTGAAAGAGGGTCTCTGAAAGAGGGTATATTAGTTAGGGTTCTCCAGAGAAGCAGAACCAAAAGGATGTGTGTGTGTGTGTGTGTGTGTGTGTGTGAGAGAGAGAGAGATAGATTGCATAACAACGTTTCAGTTAGTGATGGACCACGTATACAATGGTGGTCCCATAAGATTATAATGAAGTTAAAAATTGCCATCGCCTAATGATGTCATAGCGGTTGTAATGTTGTACCACAATGCATTACTTTTTCTATGTTTAGATATTTGTCTTATGATTGTTACACTTGGCTATAGTATTCAGTATAGTAAAATGCTGTACAGATCTGTAGCCTACTAGAGGTGGGTAACCTATGTCCTCAAGGCCACATGTGGCCTTCTAAATCCCCAGGTTCGTCTCCTTGATTGAATCCAAACTTCACAGAACAAATCCCTTTATTCTGTGAAATTTGGATTCAGTCAAAAGGCCACACTCATGGACCCAGAAGGCCACATGTGGCCCCAAGACCATAGATTCCCTGCCCCTGGTAGGTGTGTAGTAGGCTAAACTATCTGGGTTTATGTATGGATACTCCATGAGGTTCACATTGTGAAATCACCTAATGGCACATTTCTCAGGATGTATTCCTGTCATTAAATGATGCATAATGGTGTATATATATATATATGTGTGTGTGTGTGTGTGCGCGCGCGCGTAAGGAGAGAGACAGAGAGAGAGAGAGAGAGAGAGAGAGAGAGAGAGAAATTTAAGAATTGGCTTAAGGGATTGTGGAGGCTAGGTGAGTCCAAAATCTGACAGGGTAGGCTGGCAGGTGAGAGACTTAGGGAAGAGTTGCAGTTCAACTCCAAAGATAGTCTGCTGGGGAATTCCTTCTTACTCAGAAGAGTTCAGTCTTTGTACCATTAACCTTTAATTGATTGGATGAGGCCTACCCAGATGATAGAGGGTAAACTGCCTTATTCAAAATCCACCCACCCATTTAAATGTTGATCTCATCCGAAAAATACTTTCACAGATAACACCCAGATCAAATATCTGGTCACCATGGCCCAGCCAAGTTGGCACATAAAATTAACCACCATGGAGGTGTCAACGGAAAAAAGCCAAGTCTGCAAAATAATTTTAAAGAGATTTATTCTGAGCCAAATTTGAGGACCATGACCCGGAGTCACTGCCAAGAGGCCTTGGGCAAGTGGACTCGCTGTGGCTGGGTTACAGTTCAGTTTTATACATTTTCAGAGAGACAGGGGTTAACAGGCAAAGTCACAAATCAACACATGAGAGGCATACATTGGTTTGGCCCAAAAAGGAGGGCCATCTCGAAGCGGGGACTTACAGGTTATAGGTGGGTTTAAAGATTCTTTAGATTGTAATTGGATAAAGACAAGAAGCTTTGTCTAAAGACATGGAATGTTTTAACATAAACTGTTTACCAGAGATAAGCCACCATTTGTTGCAAATTGAGGGCGTGCAGGTTTGTCTTGCATACCCTTAGGCCTGTTAATGGGTTACAAAGGAAGTGTCCAAGAAGGGAGGGGGGCATGATAAGGCCTGTCTGACCTCCCTCCTCCTGGCAGGCAACTTTGCCCTTGAATATTCCTCTGGCCATGAGGGGGTCCATTCAGTCAGCTGGTAGGGGTTGAGCATTTTAGTTCACAGAGGATAATTCAACTTTTTCAGTGCTGTACACTGGATCCCCCAGATCACAGCTTGCATTGCCTGGCCTTTCAAATCTACCTCTCTCTCTCCCTTCCTCCCCCATGCCCCTCTTTCCTTCCTTCTTACAAACACACATACACCCCACACAGCCATTTTTCTCCCAGATCTCACTCTTCCAGAGTAGAGTTGCTGTGTTAGAGTTGTCTACTGCAGACCAAATCTTGCTAACCTTTTTATATCCTGGGAAATCCAGAATGTAACTTAAAAGCCTATTAGGCCCAGATTTTGAAAATGCAAAAAGGCTCACGTATCATCTCCGAATAAAGAAAAAACAGACCTCTGAAATAGGAAAGGCTGCTCCCCATTGGGGAATAGAGCTAGTGAGGAGTAAATGCCTTTCATTCTTCCTTGAAGAGTAAATAAATATCTTCACTTCAAGACAAAACGGAGACTTTTTGGTACCTTCTTTAAAAAGAAGCAAACAATAAAATCTTTGGTAGGTCCTATGCATCCATATGCAGCTATAGTGATATAAAGTACTATCTCATGTAAAAAGGAGGCTATTGATATGCAGATAGGTGACCATACATCTTGATTTGCTTGGGACAGACTCAGTTTGGCATGGTGACTTTTTTTAATTTCCTGACTATGCCTCAACAGCAAGGTAATTCCTTTGAGGTCTTCTAACCCAATAAGCTTGGGTGGGGGGAGACAGCATCTGATCTTTCACAACTGGGCTGGTTTTATTGTGTGACAAAAATAAGTTGACACAGCCATTGACTTAATAAAAAGGACTTTATTTAGCTCTCAAAAACAAAAACAAAAAAAGAATTCTTAAAGGAAAGTAGTTTAAAAAGGCTTAGAATCATAGTCTTTTCTTCTACAGCTACCACTTTAGTGTGCTATTTTTAATGGTTTCAGTTTGGGATACAGAAATAGTTGAAATTTTCAACCCTGAAAGGCCCAAAACCCCAAATTACTGGACCCTGATTTAAATTTAGATTCCAAGCCATCCTAGTATTCTCCCCATATCCCTACTCTGAGTCAATACCACGTATTTTAGGTTCTTGAAAGCAACTTAGTTCAAGAGAGTGTCAGATGTTTCAGGACTAGGTTTAACTACAAGTAACAAAAACCCAAATTAATACTGTTTTGAACAAGCTAAAAGTTTATTTCTCATGTGAAAATCTAGAAGCAAGTAGTCCAGGGTTAGTATGATACTCCTTGTTGCCAGAGATTCAAACTCCTATCCTCCCTGGGTCCTGGCTTTCATCCTTAGCATCATATCAAATTAAAGATGACCAATCCAGAGATAGCCATTTTCTTCATTCTAGGTAGCAGAAAGAAGGAAAAAGAAGGGCAGACTCACTTTCATGGATAATTTCCATTAAAATGCCATTGGCCAAGACATGTTCATATGGTCCTACTCAACTACAAGAAAGACTGGGAAATGTAGTCTTTATTTTTGACAGCCATATGCCTCAGTTAAAAATCAAGCATTCTAGTCTTGTAGAAGAAGGAAGGAATACATATTGGCCAACAATTGGCTGTCCCTGCTACAGTTTATGCAAGCATTAGAAAATAATATATGGACAAATGAGAACATTGCAGCACAGGCATGTGGTACATTCTTAACAAAATAGCCAAAATTATCTTTTAAAAAAATATTGCTTGTTATTCCAAATACTCCAAGGGTTTTCTAAATCTTACAAAGCCTAACAATGTCTCACAGAATCCTATGTTTTCTTTACCTCCTCCATTGCCTTTCTAACCTCATCCCAACTACATTCCCCCTTGATCATCAATTCATTTACTTTTGCTCTTCTTCATACTTGCCAGATATATTCCACCTTAGGGCCTTCTAGATATCTGCCTCCCTGAATATCTACATGGCTAACTTCCTTTCCTCTTCCAAGTCTTTGCTCAGATGCTACAACCTCAATGAAGTCTATGCTGACAACCCTATTTAAAGTTGCAATTCTCTCCACCCTTATATTCCCAATCTATCATCATTTTTCCCCATAGCATTTATCACCTTTTAGCATCTATACAGTTTTCTTATTGTGTTTATTATTTATTATCTATTCCCTCTAAAATGTAAGTTACACAGGGTACAATCTTTTTCTTCTTTGTTCACTGAAGCATTCTAAGTGCCTAGAACAATGCTAGGTACAATGTAGGTAATCAATAAGTAATTTGTGAATAAACGAATGCTTTTATTTCAGAACAACAGAAAAAAGGTAAAAGTAATATTTCTATTACTTTAAAAGTAGTATCTTTTCCTTAGTCATGGTATGTCATTTTGCCTTGGGATTCCTCATTGTTTTAGTGGGCTACATCAGTGATGAGACCTTGTAGCTATTTCAGCATGTGAGTGCATAGTTACACCCTGGAAAGGGTGCTATTGATAACTTGCTTTGACATTATTTCTTATGGGCATATTGATTTGGTCTTAAGAAATTTTAGGTTGTCTGTATGTATTATTCAAGGTTTCTAGGTTGCAAATAAGAGAATCTCAATTCAAAGTAGCTTAAGCAAAAAAAAAGGAAACTGTTGGATCATGTACCTAGAAAACTCAAGAGATGTGGTTGTTTTTAATAGCTGGTTTCAGGGATTGAAATGTTATCATCAGGAATCTCACTTTTTGTCTCTTTTGTCTGTTTTCATCTCTTTTGGCCTCATTCTTAATGATGGAGGTTTATAGTCTTCTTAAAGCTAGCCATCCCAGAAAATAGAGCACTACTTTCTCTTCTTCATCAGAACTCTGATTTACCAGTCTTTGTGTCTGGGAATAGGGCACTTTGATTAACATGTCTTGGGGACACTCATTCTCTGTCTGGAAGTCAAGGCCACATAATTGACAGTCCCATCAGAATCTGGAGGAAGGTAAGTTCCAAACAAGAAGGAATGACAAAGGACGGACCAAAAAAAAGTGTTGTGCTTTTTCAGTAACATATTTCACATGTAAATTTGCTTGTATAAGTGGTGTTATAGCAAACAGCAAAAATTAAAATATTTTATAACAAATTAGCATTTTTTCTTTCTTAAACAGGATTATACCAATTATAGACTTAGATTCATATTTTTAGATTCATATTTTTTCTTCCTTTAGGCTCTCATCTCTGTTAATTTCTAATGGAATTTCACATTTAATAATTGCTGTGTGGTCTAGAATATGATGACAAGTAAATCGTGATTAATGTCCAGCCTCTATTTGTAACCCAGTAGGATTTTACATTTTAAATTTAATAACATTCTTTATCATTCATAGATGGAAATGGTAAATACAGAAGCAGAGGATCACAGAGAAGCACTATCTCAGTCTTCTTTATCCCCCTTGACAAAAGTAATGGAGTTATCACAGCAAAGCCACCCTGAAGGTACCTTGGAGGGGAATACTGTGGACCCAATTTACAAATATGTTTTGAATGATTTACCAAGGTAAGAATATTATTTCAGCAGCTTAAATTGAATTCTGAAGGGGATAAACATGCTTACAGAAAGTTGTCTATGTAAAAGTTCAGTCAGTATTTCGTAGTAATGATATAAATAATAACTTGGAGATGTGATGGGCTACAAAGGTAGTTGCCTGGAATAGAGCCCTTCAATTTTTCCTACTTTATGGGAAGAAACAAAGATAGATGATGCAATAAACATAAATTATCCCTTGGATCTGACTTGAACAGGTAACATAATAATTATGGCAGGTAATATTTGCTATGTGCCAGTCACCATGCTTAGTACTTAATATATATCATATCAATTTTGTTCTCAAAACAACCCTGGGAGGAATATAAAGCAGATAGTATTCTAAACATCTCCATTTTGGCTATGAGAGAACAAAGACCTAGAGATGATTATTAACTTGACTAAACTCACACAGCTTGTATATAGAGAAGGTAGAGTTTGAACTCAGATGGATCTAACTCCACAGCACTTTATCAGAAGTATAAAGCAGAGGGTACAAGGGTATTTTTCCTGGTTTTTTTCCTCTGGTAGAAAGTAAAAGAACTAAAAGGTGTATGTCAGATGTTGATAAACTATTGGCTGGCTAAATGTGATGTCATAGTCTTTATGTTCGCTAGAACACTGAAACTATAATAGCACCACAGAAATTATTCATAAATTAGAGGTTATGTTAATCTCTTTATAGAAATGCTAGGTTATACTTATTTCCTAGAACAGATTGAGTGTTTGCTTTTTTGGGGTGTATGTATGTCACTAGATTAAGATGAAAGTAAACTTAAACTTTCAGCTAATCTTTTTTTTTGCCTAATTCTTCCCAGTTTTAAGGCTATATTAGCAGTTTATGAGATCCTTTGGACAGTGTACTAACTACATGGTTAGGTAATTTTTAAAAATGAATACTCTGTATGTTCTATTGTAGGGATATAATTTGCTCATATTAGTGTTCTTCCTAATAAGACAACAAAAACATTTCTAAATATGATTTTAAAGTATTCCCTTATATAAATGCCAATTCTAGTATAATATGTATTTGGACATACTTTTACTGCCTTTGGAATTTATTTTTTCCAATTTCTACTTCAAAATGGTATTACATTTACTTTTTATTGTAATGTTTTCTTTTCTTTCTTTCTTTTTTTTTTTTTTTTGAGACTGAGTCTCACTTTGTTGCCTAGGCTAGAGTGAGTGCTGTGGCGTCAGCCTTACTCATAGCAACCTCAAACTCCTGGGCTCAGCAATCCTTCTGCCTCAGCCTCCCAAGTAGCTGGGACTACAGGCATGCACCACCATGCCTGGCTAATTTTTTCTATATATATTAGTTGGCCAATTAATTTCTTTCTATTTATAGTAGAGATGGGGGTCTTGCTCTTGCTCAGGCTGGTGTCGAACTCCTGACCTCAAGCAATCTGCCCACCTCAGCCTCCCAGAGTGCTAGGATTACAGGCATGAGCCACCGCGCCTGGCCTGTAATTTTTTCATGTACATTTTTAGCTACTTTATTTTTTTCTGGTAGAGCTAAATGGACTTTCATTTGTTGAGTTTCTGCTTTTCTCTTTTTTTGTTCTTTGGCTCTGAGTCTCTTTAACTCTGGCTTTATTTGTCCTTTTTATTATATGTCAGTCTTTCTTCTCATGTGACACTTTCCTACAGCCTGTTATTTTTTTAGTTTTTGTTTCAATGTGCTTCTTCTGTTTCTTTGTTTGAATCCTAACTTTTTTTTCTGTCACTACTGCCTGTTACCATCAACTGTGATTATGATGTACCTAGAAAATGAAGTAACCCTTTTCTTGGCAATTGAATGGAAATTTGTAGACAATGCCCAAAGGTCTTTTACCTTCATGAAAAAGAAAATGATGAGTTTCAATCTGAAAGGGGTCAAGTTCATAAAGGCTAATGTCAATCTAAGATTCATTGGTATTAATATGATTATCAGAGAGAAGCAATTTTCTCTATGAGTAAAGACATTTTCCCCCTGATTGAGGTTAAAACTTCTCTTGTTTCGGTCTTGTTTTCCTTGCCACCTTTCTTTTACTATCTTTATGGTCTTTTTATGAGAAATAATTATTAAACTATAGTCAATTTGTTTTTCCTTTGTTTATGTCACAGAGGTGATGTTTTTCTTCAGTAATTAACACATTGTACTTTTTATAAAATATGCCCACATATATAAAGTCCGTTCAAAATAGCTATACAATGACCAATCACTTTATTTTCACATTATTACCTGATGCTATTCATTTAACTTTTGTTACATTTATATTATTTGCACTTCTTTTCTCTCTTTCTTGTGTTCTTTCCATGTGTTTCTCCTGCTGTCACTTTAGGTTGATTTTGCTTGTAAACAGAGTGAAAACTAGGATGCCACTCCCACAAGAAAACTAACACCAATATTATAAATGTATTCATCGCATTGTGCTACTTGCAGGGTGGGGAACCTACATCCTTAAGGTGAAATGTGGCCTTGTAGGTCCTTAATTGCAGCCTTGTGACTGCAACTAAATTCTGTAGAACAAATCCTTTTATTAAATGTGGTGCAGCAGTGAAAGATGAAGCTTTTATTGCTTCCTTTGCTGCTTAAAAAGAAGACTCTTGAAATCAGAAGTCCACAGGTTCCCCAGCCCTCTAGCCTCATTCCTGTGGCTACTTCCAGGAAAGCAGCACAACAGGAAACCTTTCATACCCAGCTGTGTTCTGATATATTCCCAGATGACCCACAGCCAATTATTTATTAGTAACAGGTATCCAGAGGCATTTTCACCATGCCCATAGAAGGTATGTCCAAATGCTGAAGTAAAAAATTCCAAATTATAATTGCATTTTAAAATTACGAGAATGTAAACAATTAATATCTCTTTCTATCCCACATATAAAATTTTTTTTAGTAATTTTTAGCCAGTGATCATCTAAGGAATGTAATTTCATGATTTTTATAATGGAAAGTTATAATGTTTTTTTATCCTGCTGGCAGCTCAGGGTATTACCAACTCTTACAGTTCCCTGAGGAGGCAAATTACTTTTAGTACATTAAATGAAGACAAATTAATTTTTAAAAAATGAATGCCAACAGTTTTATGTTATAGGTTATCTAGGCTGTTTTTTTCACAGACAAATCTTGCTTTCAAGTTTACTAACAGCACCTAATCTATTCAGTCACTTTTTTATGTCAAAACTTATCTTGGGTATTTTTACTTGCAAAGAGTAAGACCCTTTTCGAAATATAAACATTTGGATATATTGCCTTTTCTAAGGACATTTTAAGTCTAGTAACTTCATCATGAGCTTTGATTCTTATCGTGGAATGCGTGGCAGAAGGGAGTTAGAGGGAGGCAGTAATAGTGAATGAAGAAAAGCAACACTTTACTGTTTGAGACCTCTGTTGCACAACAGTTTTCACTTTCTCCAGCTCATAATTTTTTTTCCAGACTTTTTTCTTCAAGTCTTTAAAAAATATCTCCACAGATCTAAAAATTATTATATTATTTCCTTTAAAAAAAGTTAAGACTAAATCATTATTTCTAGAAATAATAAAATAATTAGTCTTTAGAAATAATGATTTCATTATTTCTAAAGACTAATTATTATTTCTTTCTGAAAATTTAAATTCCTTCTGTAAAAGTTTTATATCTATAAATCCCCCAATTTTAGATTGAAGATGTGCCTTATTTTTATCCCCTTGTAGTTTTACACAAGCAAAAATATTTTTCCCCATTTCAGTGGAATGATATATGCTCCTGATCCTATACTCAAATGGGTACTTACAAATCTTAGAAATTATTCTTCTTGTTTAGGATTTCCTTCTTTTACAAGTAAAAGTAAGAAGTAAACAAGTTTTATATAATAGACACTTACTGAATATCTTCTATGTGGCATATATGTAGTTTGAACATAATATTAATACATTGGTTATTATTCAGTCATTGAGTTGCAAGTAAATATTTGATGTGTCATAAAATAACCTGACATTGCTCTGCAATTGGAAAACCATTATGAACATCTTTAGGCCAAACTAAAATTATATTTTCTTCTGGCATTAGAAATAAAACTTGTGGGGAATTGTTTACTTTTATTATTATCTCTTTTAATACTTACTTTTTATGATGTTTAAATTACATTTTATCAGAGAATCTAGCACTTGTAGAAAGTTATTTGTATTATTGGAAGTTATTTGTTTAAGCAAGTTGAGGAAAGGGCAAGATGAAGTTTAATGAAATCTTTACACTTTTTGTACTCCAGAGATTTTATAAAAGTTGACATTCACCAAACATATGTGGAGTTATTTCTTTTATTGGTTGATTTCTAGTATTTTAAACTGGTGAATTATTATTAAACATACTTATGGTTATCTTCCTTTATGTTTATATTTTATTTGTATATATTTGATTTAGGGAGCTTAATTACCATTAAAATAGTAATAAGTAAAGAGAAGTTTTACAAATAATATTTTTAAAAACCATAGCTCTTTAGGAAGGCTTAAATGCCATAGGAATATAAAGCAAGAAATACGTGCTTGTCAAATATACAGTATAAATAAATAATTTAGATGAAAATGGTTGACTACATTTAACAAAGAGACTACCAAATAATGAAGGGCTAAAGAGTGGTTGTTAGATTTGATGTACTTCATTTTATATTGTAAGTAATTACTATCCATAAAAATTCTATGGTTTCTGTATAAGAAAAAGAGACATTTTGACAGGCAACACTAGTATGAAGCGACAGCAAGTACAAGTCCTTGGCAACTGTCATTATCCTGCTGTTGAATTCACATCCAAACTGTGTGATAACTTAGACCAGCGTGTTTGTTATTGAGCCATGGTCTGTCAAAGTAGCCACACTTCCTATTTCTGAATAGAATTATTAGCCACATGCAGATTTGTGCCATAGAAATCTACACTTACCAAGGATGCTTTGTGTTTCAAAAAGAGGGAAAATAAAAACTCAGTGTTATTTTATGTTTACGCTGAAATTTCTAG